TGCTGAGTGTGGGGACTCAGGGTGAGTGTGGGAGGCTCAAGGTGAGGGGGGCAGAGCTCACCTCTCATCAGAGGCAGAAGGGGGAGGCCCTGAGCTGAGACCAGAGGGTCAGGTGGGAATGAGCCAAGCCCAGCACAGGAGCCCTCAGCCTAGGAGGAGGCAAGGGTATAGTAGGAACAAGGTGTGTGTGAAAGTGAAGGAAAGGCTGGTTTCTGAAGGTAACTTAGTCAGAGGGCATGAGAACAGACAGACCCAGACAAAGAGAGAGGCGGGGGGCTCATTCCAGCTGAAGACACACCTGGAGAGGACTCTAAGGGTAATCAATATTTTGCCTGAACATGAAACTTGCATGAAAAACTCCATTTAAAAGGTAGACTTACTCGGCTGCATGTGGATCGTCTGGACCAGGCAGAGCACTGCAAGGGAAGGTCTGGTGACAACAACGCCCAGAACCCGAGTTCTCCTTGGTCTGCAATCAGGGGGCCTTTCTGGAGGCAACAGGCTGGGTACCGAGAATTTCCCAGGCTCCCTCCTCGGCCTTCCCTCTGAGCACAATCCTGCTTCCTGCCCTTAGTTTCCAGACAAACCCCCACCCCCTCTTCCAATCAGGTCCTCAGTCAGAACCTGTCCCCACGCCCAGGCACCTGCTTCTAGGACTGACCCTCCCATGGTCACTCTTCGGTCATGGCCAGCGCTGAGGGGCCAGGCCCCCAGGAGCTGAGGGCCAGGCCCCCAGGAGGGACCGTGAGTCTCCTGGGCTGGAGTCAGGCTGAGCAGGGATGGCTACACCTCCCCCAGCTCCCACCCCCTCGGTCCCTGGAATGCGGTCCCTCCATCCAGGACTCACCGAGGCCCAGGAGGGTGGAGGGCCGGGGGCTCATGGCCAGCCTCTCCCAGTCTCCTCTGTCCTTGTCCACAGGGAGGAGATGAGTCTGCCTTGGTGAGGGAGGACAGGCTCCTGCAGGTCAGTGAATGTGCAGGGCGGCTTTAAAGGGGCTGAGTCATGTGCGTCATTTCCGTGGTTTCTTATGAAAGGATGTAGGGTGCTCCAAACTCCACCCC